CCTTATTAGATGGACATTCAAGTGACTTCTCGCATTATGCATAAAGGAGGAGGGTAGAATGTGTGCTACCCACGAAACGCACGATCTTATGTCACTCTTATTTTTCTATCTACATCAAATGGCAGGCCTTTTGATAGTCATCATTGGCCCTTTAGTTGACTTCGGACTTCACAGAGGGAAGGAAGAACATCAAAGTGAGAAAAAGTGGAGAGGGGGAACAGGAGAGAGATTAACAGATGTAAAAGAGACAGACAGATGCAAAGGCCGAGAAAAGGTAAGGTGAGAACTGTGGAAGTGGTGGAATATGACGTACAGTGGGGTCACAGTAATTTGAAGTGACCGGTTTATTGATTTTTTGGCGTATGAGTATACGTTGCTCAGGGTGGACCACGTCACTCCATCTTGTGTCACTCTCTCATCTGCGAAATAAGTGGCCAATGGACTGATAAGAAAGATTGTCGAATTCACTTTTCCAATTTTGAGCTCCAGGGCGATATCCGTCGAAATACTCTTAATGCCCCCGTGCGAGATGTTCATCCTCAATGCACTCTACCGTAGTGATAGTATCTTCCACTCAATATGAGATGCTTTGGCAAAGGGAATTGTCTTTCCTCCACCTTAATTGCATGGCATTTTTAATAAGCTACTGAGTAATATTCGGTGCGTTCAAGTTGAATTACAATTTTCGTTTTATCTCGGGAAGTATTCTTGCCTCGCTTTTTAGTCACTAAAAATGACAGAAAATTGCAATTACTGAGACCCCCTTGAAGGAAGCGCATTATTTTTTTTAATTATTAGATGCACTTATCCGTCCTATTTTATCAAAAGAATACTCTTTTCACAAGTTGGCTAGTTAAATGTCACGGAGGAATCTAGTTAAGGACCTCTTGCAAGCAGAAGAAGAAGTCTAGCGTGTGTCGCCTTTACTAATTACTGCAATTTTCTCCCAGCTTTGAGGTCATTGAATTTATTATAACCCCCCACCCTCCTCCCCTTGCTCCCCCTCTCTCTCTCAATTTTTGTGTCGCCTCAATAGTTTGAGTTTCAAGGTCAAACATTTATTATTTGCTACTGAGTGAGGTGTCCTGATTGTGATATTCTGTTCCCCGTGGTTGGTTATTGACCGGGCCCACATTTGCATGCAAAATGAAGAATTTCTGTTTCCCCTTTTAGGTTTGCATTTAGTGGCCGACATCTTTTGTGAATGCTGTGATACGTACTTGGGGTGGAAGTATGAGGAGGCTTTTGAACCCAGCCAAAAGTACAAGGAGGGCAAGTACATAATCGAGTTGGCCCATCTGATTAAGGACAATGGCTGGAGGTGGTCGATGCTTCCTCCGTGACCTTGATATAACTTCATCCAATTAATTCTCTTCATTTAGAACTACTCTTCAATTGGTGGCATTTTTTATGTATATATATCTATATATGTAGCAGACCTAGCATCTTAACCTTGTATCACACCTTCTCCCGTTGAAAGCTTATTCCAGTGTACCGTATGATCGATTTCCAGTTAACCCCTTTGACCTCTACTTGCACTTTTTTAAAACACAATTTCAATAAATTATACTAAATCTTTTAATTATGCCACTCGATTCTACTTGATGGGTTATAATGAGTAATGTTAATTGGTTAGTACTGAAAAGGCAGCTATTTGAATCAATAGACCTGTCGATTGTTGGATTGCAAAGAGTGTGAGGTATATTAAATTTACAGCACTTAGTTAAAGTACGTGCGAAAAGAAAGTGTTTTGAAATGACATTGGATAGAGAACGACAGAAAAAAAATAACTAGTACAAGATATGAAAAAAAATTGAATACTGGTATGTCGTCAGCCGATGTCTTGCGAAATCACAGAAAAGTTGGGATAAAGTTGGCATAAATAAGACGATTTAAGGTAACTGGGACAAGAGGCTTTTATAGGAGGACCACTTCCCCACTCCCCAAGAGAATTAATTATCACGCCTTGACCCCGACACTACTTCAAGGGGAAGTGAACTTTCTCCTAACCGGACTGCAATGTACCTTTGTTTCTACCACGTAACTATCTACCTCCAACTCCATCATCTTTTCTAGGTCATTCCTTCTCTTCCCCCCTCTCTCTCTCTCTCTCTGTGCAAATTTCTATTTTAGTATTAACCCCCACCCCCCTGCTCTCCTTTCCCAGTACTTACCTCTCCCCCCACCCTCTCCCTCCCCCGCGTCCAAGAACCTTTATGGTTCTCACACTCAAGCTTGCCTTTCCACTTCTGATGTCGTCTTCAGTGAGCTTGAATATTGCCCTATTTTTAGATGTTGAAAAGCACGTTTTTTGTATTGCCAAACGTAATGCTAATTGGTGTTAATACGCGGTTAATTGCACGGCAAGACTCATATATGTGACGTCAGTTATTAGAAATACATTCTATTGAATAGGCACATTCTCCAAACTAGTTGGGCGTTAACTTGGAATATTAACATATATAGTGACACATTCCACAGATCCTGAGACCAACCTGAAATTGTCAATATCACGGCATGTCTGACAAGAAATGTGCCATCAACCAACGTGGGGAGGAGGCCAAAAATTCCTGAGAGTGACTTCAATGTTATTAAAGAGTCTTATTTCACCTTATTTTGGGGTTTGTATTGAATAGTATTTACCAAATTGACGGGGTAAAGTTGGCTTGGGTTCTGAAAAAATCGATTTGTCCTCTTTGATTGCGGCAAACACCTACAAATAATGATTGATGCTTATTTTCGGTTTTATTGGTTGTTCTAACCTTTTTCTCTACCTTTGTGTCCGTCTCTTTCACATTTGTTAATAACTTTACTGTCCCTCCTCTCGGCTTTTTGTCGCTTTGATGTTCCTCCTCCTCTCTGTAAAGCCCGAAGTCAACTAAAGTGTTATAAAGATAACTATCAAAACGCCTGCCACCTGAAAAAAGTATTTCATTTTTGTAAAAATCATCTTCCATATCATGTACCTTTTCACAGTCCTAACATGGCCGAGTTGAGATAGCTGAGCTGTAAGCTGTGTGAATTGCCAAACCAAAGTCATTTGCCTGTGGGGTATGCGATAGACTTACCTCCACGTGGTGCACCCTGGGCAACGTATACTCATACGGCAAAAAGTTTATTAACTGGCAGTTGACTTCTGACTTCAAACTTCCATAACCCCACTGTATGTCATATTCGACCCCTTTCACAGTACTCACCTTACCTTTTTCTCTACCTTTGTGTCTGTCTGCCTCTTTTACATCTGTGAATCGCTCTTCTTTCCCCCTGTCGAATTTTTCTTACTTTAATGTTCTTCCCTTCTGTGAAGCCCGATGTCAACTAAAGGGCTAATGATAACTGTCAAAATGCCTACCATTTGAAATAAATAAATAGTCCTTCGCCTGTTTTGTTACGTCATTTG